TGCCAATATCATTACAAAAGGACTTGACAAGGAGAACCTGTTCTTTCAAAATGGCATCTCCTTTGGCAAGGAGCTCGATGTCATCCATGTAAAGGAGATGAGTAAGTGGTGTTGGGGATCTGTGCTGAGGAGGTCCGGGATGGTACCCTCCTCTTTATTGAGCAGAAAGCTTGAAGGATTCAGAGATAAACAAAAAAAACAAAGGACTGAAGGAGTCCTCCTGGAATATTCCCCTTCTGATTGGAATAGATTCCTAAGTCTGCGCCTGCCCTTGTGAGTACATCTCAAGTTGAGTCGACCAGCAACTCAATAAAGACTTGAGTAAATCAAGTAGTTGAGTGAGTGAGTGAGTTAATATTTAACGTCACATCTGCAATATTTCAGCCATATCGTGACGAGAACATTTGATATTGAAATGAAATATATGTATATTATAAAAAATCTGTCGACGAAGGACAGTAAAACAACTAGAATTAGTAGAATATCACAATTACAACTAAAACTAGTATGGAGAGTTAAAACTGATAGCACTATTTGGACAATACAATATAAAAACAAGCTATAGATCGCCAACACCAGAAGGTAGATCACCAAACTAGGGACCATGGGGACTTACAGTACCTTGGCTACCTGCATGGACCCTAGTTGGGTTTACACCATCCCTTCAGCTGCTGGCGATTGTAAGAAATGTTAGCCACAATTAAAATGACAAGAATGCTACGTTTAAAAATCCTGGCAAGTTTAAATGGACTTTGAACATTTTGGGACTTACGTACCCTCTCAGGAGGACAATAATTTTACACTACTTCAACCCCCTTTGAGGGTACAGCCACTAACAATCTCAGTTACTAATCTAAACTACCAATAATAAAATATGTATCTATTTACAAATCAGTTAACAAGTTTAATTCTTTTAAAAATGCAATAATTAAATGAGAACTTATATTACTAAAAAGATCCTTCATAGTTTTTACTTTGAATTAGATATCCCTTGTGATGGAATATTCAACACAGTCAAGCAGGACATGCTTGACCGTGATTCAAGTAGTTGCTCCGGGAGGTCAATACAATGAAGAGACTTCAGAATCCATTCATGAGGGACAGAGTCGTATGCTTTCTTGTAGTCAAACCAGCACATGGAGAGGTTGCGGTGATATCTTTTAGCCTCTCCCCAAATCATTTTTTGTACAAGAAGTTGATCCTTACACCTCCAACATCCCTTTCTTGCCCCCTTCTGCTCTCTGTAAATTATGTCACTGGAAGAGCAGTAAGATGACACGAGGTTTGTCAAACACCCTGTGAAGATTATATATTGTGCAACCTTTGCAGAACCACGGAGGAACATCCCCTGTGTCCACGAGAGAATTGTGAGAGAGAGAGTATTGATGGAATACAGTCGTATGCTAGCAGTAATATCAAAGACGACGAACCCAATCTGTCCGGGTCGAGGATTCGTGCGAGAGGAATTACAAGTCGTACCTCACGACACGGTGTTAACTCACTCAAAATCATAATCTCACTTATAATTTTACAGACGTTGAATGATGGTCCGCCAGCATGCATCAACATTTTTCACTTGGACAGGGATGGTAGTTCACAAAAACATCGCTATTATGGGACCTGTCACCGTACTGCTTTTCCATATATACTACTATCAGCGTGTCATCGGTTAATCCTTTGATCAATGTTTGTTTTTGTAACTCAGCTGATAGTTCCTCTTGCTGCACTTCCATGCACTTATTACATAACATGTAATACATTTGTCACATCAGACCATAATCTTATCTATCATGTTGACTATTCACTCCAGACACAAGACATGACAAATGGGAACCCTTGTCAATCTGAAAAGTGTTACCACTAACCATTCCCTTTATAAATTCTTTAACCGACCATCAAGTGAATAATGGCAAATAACATGTGTAGGTTTATACCACCAAACACGGGTTACAGCAAGGGAGTAGTAATCGCTGTATTGCATGCAAATTTAATTGCCTAAACAAACTTATTGGCCAACACTGTTTTGACGATATGAACGGAACTTCATTGTTGCATAAGAAATACATATAAGCATTTGCTGTGTACTTAGGTATATAGGCATATAGGTACATACAGTTTTTAACTTAAAGAAGAATACTAACGAAATCAAAACTTTTCATAGGGGTAAAGGCATTCTAAAAGTCACCTTCCATGCTTAGGATATGAACGGAACTTCATCGGTGCATAAGATTAAGAAATACACATAAGCATTTACTGTGTACTTAAATAAAAAACTGTATATACCTATTTACCCAAGTAAATTTTCAGAGTTTTCTAGAAATGAAAATGTGGGGTTGTTTAGTTTACGGATTCAAATAAATCAAATGTGTGTTTTTAATATCATAGGTAACAGACATCATAGTTTTACATGACATGATTAAATATCAAGGTAAAAACACAGAAATAGGATCAAACTGGATCAGTCACTAAACCATCCAGGCATTAGAAAATCTGAAAACCCTACACTGCTGGGACACTTTATTACAATCAGACAAGAACTACTGGGGATATTTTCAAATAATGGCATCTGATGGGCATCCACCCTTCCTAATGTCCCACTATTTAGGTTGAAGAAATTCTGTCAAGGTGGACAGTAGCCCAGTCCCTGTGTCCGTCACAGTCGAGGGAGCAGCTACTGACCAACTTGCAGCTAGGTTTCATAATTAGACTGTTGGTGAGAAACATTAACCGCACTGGATCAGTGCCCCTTTAACTCAACGTTAACACAAAGGATTGTAAAGGGTTGAACAACCCAAAAGCTGGTCAAGTTGTGTATGACTATCAAGGTAATTCAAGAGCAGTGGTACCGATAAGCTGCGTATCTGTGTAAATTACGCCAATATTTGTGTGAAAACTCAATTCCTATTAAGTCTATTGCACACAAGTACGCTTGAATTTTTGAAAATACTCAATAAATGTAATCTTACATGCCTACACACATAAATGTCAAATCTTAGCTTGCATATCGGTGGATAGATAAAATAACTGAGGTATAATGAAAGGTTCTCTTTCAGGACATGAACTTGACAACTTGCAGCCTTTCTTATTGTTTCTCATATTACAGATAAAATATAAATAACTATTTCAACTTTATTATATTCTTAAAATTAATGGAAAATGGCAAAATACCCAATTGAGTTTGAGTGAGGTGAGTACAATTTATTTGGTTACTCAAAGGAAAATTATGATACACAATCGAGTACATAACTCAATGACCCAAAAACGTGATATGTAGCTCTGCAGAGTTGAGGACATCCTCGATAATCTCCAGGGCATACGTTACGATCACTCTCATCTTTACCCTGGATGCATCCACGGCTTGGCCCGATAATTATATTACCTCCCTTTGCTGGCTCCGCATACTCACAGTGGCCAATCAGCAAAGCCGCTGTTACATCCGAGCTTGCCGGTGTCAACAAAGATAGCGGTTGCAGTCGCGAAGATTTGTTCGTAGTGCCAGTCAGATTTTTTGGGAAATAATACAGACAAATTGACAGATCTGAAACTTTAAAAAAATACATGAAAGAACTCCTTCTACCTCTTTCAGAGTACCTGTGCATCAATTGTGTTAACAAGTTTAAACGGTGAAGTGGAACACTTTTTATGGATAGACAACTTCTTTGTTGCAGTAGTAGTTGCAATGTTTCGGTGTAGATCCTAACACCATTATCAAGCAAATGATACACAACATTTGCACAAGGAGAAATATATACATGGCGGGTATTGGCTTATACAATAGAAGAGGTTGATGTACGGTGTGTTGACTTGAGACTTGTTGTGATAGGAATGATTGAAGCCAGTAGACAAAGGGTGGGTTATTCTTGATTAGGCTTGATTAGTTGATCGTAAGCCGTGGGGATGTAATAACCTTGATCTCTGTTGATTGTCGGGTTGAGTCGTTTGATGTTGATTGCCTCTAAGAGTTTTCTAATCTTGTAATCTGACCGGTTGGCTTCTAGGATGCTGATGTTGTTCCAAAGTATGGTATGGTTCGGGTGGGTTGGGGGTGGTTGGAAATGGTGGTCTTTTTTTTCTTTACAGATGTCTGTTGTTCCTTGATTCGTAGGTTTAGGGGGTGGCACGTTTCTCCTATGTATGAGTAGCCACAGTCTCATTGAATGTGGTGACAACACCTGAAGGGTCTTCTTTGTTGCTTGTAGGTGGTTTACCGTTGACTTGTAGGATACGCTGAATTGACGTGCCTCTCTAGAACACAACATTTATGTGAAGGCTTGCCTCTTAAGTAGTCTCCGGATATGGTTGGCTGATTGTATCGACGTATGGTATACTGATGATGAACGGGGCTGATTGTTGACGTGGTGGTTTGTCTTTTGGGTTGACTGTGGTGTTGATGGTTCTGTTGACTAGGTTAGCTGGTTAATCATTAAGGTTTAAATGGTTAGATAATTTAAGAAGCGAAAGTGAGTTGTGATTGGTTCACTCAACTACCCAGCGTAGACATCCGATTGGATAAAAAGCCTGCAAAGGGAGGTAAAAAAATAATCGGACCAAGCCGTGGATCTAGTGGAGAGTGATCATAAGGTATACCCTGGCTATTATCGAGGATGAGTTGAGGATAGAATTGGGGAACGTACACTAACAATAAACAGTGATGAACAACGTTCCAGTGATGAACAACGAACGTTGTTCATCACACCAACTTCTGACTGCCACTCAAACAAGAAAAAACAGTGAGGGAAAGAGTTCCTTACGTACCCCCACCTAATGAAAAGCACCTTATAAAATAGGCGGGGGGTACGTAAGGAACTCTTTCCACAGTGAGATCCACAGTCGAAGAATCGTTTATGGACATATCAAAATAAAATAAGTACTTTGGTTCTATGCGGTTCCTCGTGTGACAAGAAAAATGACAATATCACGCTGAAGTGAACCAAACCTGATCTTTAGGAGAAAAGGGGCTGTCTTGTTAACATAGCAATAGGTAAAATAAGAAACATTACTTGTTGAAGTTGTAGTTTGTATGTCTTGAGATTTTCTTGAATGTCTTCTGCCATTTTTTTCGCAACTGTATTCAACTCGGTCGACGCTTGTTTAGGACAAACTATAACCACACGATACCATCCCAGAGAGTGTTACCGGAAGTTAAGAATTCTACGGAGTCAGTGTTCAGTCTGGAAAATATCCTTATTGTACTTAGATCTTTTTTTGTCTAAAGGTAACAAAAAAATAATTCTAAAATCTGGCGTTTTGAAATATTGAACACATTATTTATTCGAAATGTTGTCTGCGCACCTACAATTCCGATAGGGGACGCAACTCTAGCAGTCAGACGATTGAATCTTGAGAATCCAGCGTTCTTGATACCGCGGAAACTAAAGTCGCCTCAGGTATTTATTTACAGTCACAGATAATACTTGCGTTACGCCTGTGGAACAAGCGACGAGTTGTATTATAGGGTGGTGAGTGTATAACATTGGTGCGATCTCTAAGATTTTCTATTCACGATATTTACATACGACTCTTTCGATTTTGCACTTGTTTCAAATATAAATAAAGGCCACAAGTACCTACATTTGTTTCGCCAGTAGTGCTTTCAATACGCTTGTGGACACTAGAGCAAAACCAGACCGCCGCAGTTGTCTCTCTTTACCTGCCTCCAGAGTCCAGTGCTCTGGAGCAGACACCTACTTAGAGGCAAACAACCCTTTACGATCCTTAGGGGGACACAACGGGCCTCGTGTCTTTGCGAGGATTAAAGATTTGGGTGTACTGCACTTTACCAGGCGCACTTTTTCAGATTAATTAGCGCTGCTGGGGCTCGAACGAGCTTTGCTGGATTACTGACTTTGTTAATTAGTGACGTAATGAGCGGACGCTCTACCTCGGGACCATGAGCACTATCACAGTTAATGAGTGCTCGTTTAACTGGTCAATTGCACAGAATTAAGGCGGAGGCGCGTGAAATGAAAACAAATCATTACGCTTCCGCCCTCACAGTGCCACGCCCTTCCCATTCATTTTTTTTCACGCCATTATTTCGTGGACTGTACTGACGAGTACCGGATGGATCAAAATGTGTTTCAATTGGATATAATAGGATTACATTCCCCTAAGGTAAGGTCTAACCCTAACCCTAAGGAATCAGAAAGGTTCCCAAACCCCACCCACTCCCAACCCTAACCCTAAGGATTGGAAAGGGTGCTAACCCTAAGCATCGTAAAGGTTCCCTAACCCTAAGGATCGTAAAGGGTGCCATACCCCTAACCCTAAACCCCTAACCCGTACTATCGTAAAGGGTTGTTCGCCTCTAAAGATGCGTCAGCTCCCAAAGGATCGGAACCCTAAGGATGGTTGACTGGCAAGTGAAGAAGGAGCAATTACCGCGATATAGCGAGGCACCGCGGTAGCGCTATACTGCGATAATTGCCCCACAGCCAGCATCGAGGACTGCGCCCAGTAAAGTGCAATTAAAAAAACATTTATTTTTTTAAGATGACCCCTGACTCGAAATGCTTCACAGTAGAATAAATCATGACAAGGCCGGGCACTTCAGTGTACCCCACCCGTCGGCTTTGCCGATCACTACGCTACCACCACATGCAATCGAATGCAACTTAAAGGGGCACTGATCCAGAGCAATTTCCGTGGACTGGTTGTTGCTTTTCTTATTGTTTTTCTCCGTGAGTACCTGGATGATACCCCAGAATTCTTGACTGCTTCATGACCTCTGCTGCGCCACCCGCAACACAATTGATAGTATAAGTATGGATTGATCAACAAAGATTAAATCGTTTTTACTTGATAATGTTTCCATCTTCATTATTTTGATAACAAATGAAAACATCTGCCTTTGGTAAATAATGTTAGGACTGAAAAATAACGAAGTCAATGTACGTCTTTATATTTTGTCTTATAATCCTAATTAGTTCATTATCATATTTGTATGCATTTTGAAACTTCATAAAAAGTACACAATCTGCTTATACTTATATTGTGAATTTATAACATGACTCTTATATGTAGACATTTTATTGTTTGCCAACGTCGATTATATATTATTTCACACACAGGGCCTAAGTGCGACTTAGTGTATGTTGTCTGTCTCATTTCACTTCACGGTGAAAAAAAAAGATTCTGTATAATGCTACAACAAATGAATAAAAACAAAATGCAAATATTAAAATTAAAACAGACTAAAGTTATAGCAACAATGTCAGGCTATTACCTTGTTCGAGGAATGTATCCATCAAATTCAATATTCACATAAATTAACGATAAGCCATTCATCTGCAGCTGACAAAGAGTCCTGCTCCATGTCATGTGTCTTTATCAGTCTAATATGCGAAAAAGTGATAAACGGTTTTTAACATTGGTGTATAGTCTCATTGGTCACCCAAGATAGCACACATGGCAACTAATTGCATGATGTCTACCATTCTTTGAAAAAGTAATTTAGTTAGCCAATAATGAGCAATCAATCAATGTTTTGACGATTAATCCTTTGAAGGAAGGACATTGTTTTACACAGGCACTTTATGACAGGGTGTATTCAGTATACATACATAAACACTACCTTTTGACAAATCCACTGTGCAAGATAAAAGCAATTAATCAATCGGCGTGTTACGGGTTAATCCTTTGTTCAATGTTTGTTTTTGTAACACAGGTGATAATTCCTCTTGCTGCACTTCCATGTGCATATTACATAACATGTAACACATTTGCCACATCAGACCTTGATTTATAATGTTGAGTATTTACTCCAGACATGAGAAATGCCAAACAGGAACCTTTGTCGGGTAATGTGAGTAGTGTTACCACTAATTATACCTGTTATAAATTCATTAACTGACCATCAAGTGTAGGTTTACCACCAAACACCAGTCACAGCAAGGGAGTAGTAATCGCTATATTGCATGCAGTTTTGATTGCCTGAAAAAAAACTTACGGGCCGACACTGTTTTGAGGATACGAACGGAACTTCATTGTTGCATAAGAAATACATATAAGCATTTGCTGTGTACTTAGGTAAATAGGTACATACAGTTTTTAAGGAGAATACTAACAAAAACAAAACTTTTCATAGGGTTAAAGGCATTCTAAAAGTCACCTTCCATGCGTATAATTGAACAAAAAGTTTCTAAAATTGCAATAAAAACACAACAAAGCATACTTGTATTTCCCCCTGTTACGGAAACACCCGACAGTTAATGAGCAGTGGGGGTATCACGTGACATGACGTCATATGTGCCTGTTGCTGATGGCTTCCTCTTTGATTTAACCTCACAACTTAACAGAGTCCATGGATTCTGAAGCAATAAAAGATGTTCCTGATGTCATTTAAGAAATGGATGTTAGACTGGATCAATATGATCCGATTTTACATCTTTCAAAACAATATTCCAGTGAAAATGCAGAAGAATAATCAAGCGAAACAGAGGCACTGCTTGATGTTAAATTAATTTTTAAAGTAGACCATATAATTTATCAGGAATATTATTTGTCAGCAACATGTGATACAGTCCAACCAGTGCACCCACCCCTATATATAAATGATCAATCCCTAAGAAAATATTTTTGTCCCCGGCCGCAACGCGGAATGGAGGACTATGTATTCAGCGGTGTCTGTCCGTACGTCCCAATTCTTGCTGCGACTGTGGCAGCCACTACGTTGATGAAACATCCAGACCACTCAACATCTGCATCAAAAACATAAGATATCCACAAACAAAGCAGACACCAAATCAGCCATTTTGGAACACATCACCAAACTTCCTCAACACAACATCAACTGAGACACTGTCAAAACACTTACAAACACCTAACATGATTAACACTCAGTGGAAATTGGCCGAAGCATTACAAATATGCCGTATTATCCCTCTATTAACAGAGATCAAGGCTATTACATCCCCTCAGTTTACAACACCTAATCCACAAATAATTAACCACTCAACCCACACTGGCTTCTCATCAACCTTCATACTCACATTCCTCACCACTGGCTTCTCACTAATTAATCCCCCCACCACCTTGCCTTCTGCCTTATTAAAGGTCACATGCAACCAAAAAATCAAACATAATTAAAACACAATTATCACTTATTCATGACATATAATATACATTACTGGTTATGAAAAAACATAAAAACAAAATTATAAGCGTACAATTGCAAATCAAAAGTTCAATATTTTGTACTTGGGTTTACTTCCCAAGAAACGAAGCAGCCGGTTACCGAACCCAGTCAGAGCGGGTGGGTGTGCACTCAAGTGTAACGGCTGGTTCATTTGCAGATGCCCTCACGGCTCATTGTGTGTGTATATATAGAGATGTTGGGTTTTGTAAATACATGCTCATGCCAATAAAACAGACATTGAGTTTTGTCTGTGACAACGACATATCTATATCACAGATAGAAATTCTGTGGACGCTAAATAATGACATTGCTTTTAAGTATCGAACTGAGAAAGTGACTCTGTAAGAACGTGTGGTGAAATAGCCAAATGAAATTATATAAACAGTTAAATCGGTAATCTACTGTAATAACATATAAAAAGCTCGCGCCTCTCTCTCTCTCTCTCAACAAAACATTAGAAAAATAGCTCACACCAAAGCCTTCACCGAATATTCACAGGACAACCCGCTTCCAAGCTCCGCGAACCTATTTCACTGCGCATGTGCTATTAGCGCAGCCCAGCTGTTGAAACCACTTCAATTCCCCCAAGCGCTGTGGGAAAGTTAGTGAATCGTTTGAACTACGATTTCGTGCGGTTTTTTTCATCGCGTTATTTTTCAACTTTATAAGTTGAATTTGCATTTTTGATGATTTGTTTCGGTAAGTCCATACCGAAAGGTATCAGACTCTGCAAGGTTGTGTTTTGCGTTGCATGTGACCTTTAACTTACATTCACTAATTGTCATGGTAATCCCACTCATCTCATTTTGTTATCTTCAGCTCATCATCATGTCATTGTAGCTCATCATGTAACTTTCTTTGATGCATTGTTTCCCCACCTTTGTTATTGTTATCGCATTATCTTATCTTGTATATAAACTGGTGTACCCCATCATTCCCCCATATGCTTGAAAACGGTATAAGAAAATATACTGAAATGTCGCTAATGTTAAAATAAAGAAGTTGATCATCCATAAAGTTGTGTCATCTCTAGTCAGGACAATGTATGTTTCCGTAGATTTTGCTTATGTAAATACATGTAGTTATGTTGCTCGGTCATAGCCTTAGAATGCAATTTTGCCAGACAATGAGTACAGAACAATTTTCACGGCGAACACTACCAATAAATAGCGAGTCAATGGACAAAATGGAAAACAATGAATGTAACTAGCACTTCGGCAATTTTTTGGGTAGACTGCAGAATTAAGGGCTCCAAACCAGAACGAATGTTACACCGAAACATTTTCAAGATTATGAGAAATCTCTTACTGATCATATATATCT